ACCTTTTGGGCCACAGCCTAAACCTCTTGGAATGTACAGTTAAAAATAGCCTTACAGGGCCACAGTTCAAATAGGATTAAAACATATCCCCTTAAGGATTGCATGCTCTGGCCCTTATCCTTCCGGTACTGAGATTAATTAATTATATGAGCCCTAAGGTCAGTTATGTAACCACCCTGTTTTTGCCCAGTCCTTCCCATCCCTACATGAGTTCCTGCACAGGTGTCCTTCTTTAGTTCTTTGTGTTTCCTTCCTGGTTTCATCAATAAAAAGTCACAGAAGTTTCAGTCTGGGGCTGCTCATTCCTGAGACACTCTCACACTGAGCGGTTTCAGATAAGGCAACCCCTCTAGGATCTTTTGGAGAGTAAACTGGACGACTCTATCTAAGTAACCGCTCATCCTTTGCACTGCCATGGTTGTGAACAATGACAATAAACAAATCTGCATGAATGAACTGGACTACTAAAAGAAAATGAAACAAGGCATGCAGCATGTACTGACAATCTCAGTTACAAGAGACTGAGAAAAATGGGTTTGTTTGAGCTCAAGAGTTCTAAATCAGTCAAAACAGTGAGATCCTATTACAAATTATAGGCAGCTAAATTAAGTAAAAATCGATAATACAGCCAGAGAGGGACTGGGCTGTCAAGGAAGTCAGTGCAAAGTGGAGACATCAGATTTGTGCTGGAGATATGAAGAGGACCAGGCCTCGAGATTAAAATCACAATGTAAACCAGTATGTAAACCCAAGGGATGAATGGAAACTTGACTGTAATTGGTACCACCCAGTCCATCAAGCCCAGATACGTGCCAGACAAGATCAGACAGGTCTTTCATTTATTAAAGGAATGAAATGTTTATAAAAACAGAAAACGCCAGGCCCATTAATCTGTTAGCGTACTCTATCCAACATTTAAGAAAAAAGAAAAAGTATCCTACAAATATTCTTTATGAAGGTAAGAGAGGTGAGACTACTTCCCTATTTGTTTTATACAAGGACAGTGATGCTCTAATATGACAATGTCATTACAAGAAAAAAAAATAGCAACTCTACTTAACACTGAGGTAAAGATCCTATTGAAATACTAGCAAATGCACTATAACAATATATAAAAGGAGTAGCATTACCCTGACAAATCAAGGTTTATTCAAGGAAAGTAAGACTCATTTTCTAGGACACAACAGATGCTTTAAAAAGCACTTGAAATTCAGTATCTATTTGCAATTCTGAAAGAGAAAAAAATGATAGATTAGAAAGGAATTACCAAAATAGCCATTTTCTCCCCTGGTACTAGAAATTAAACCCAGGACCTTCCCAGTGAGCTATATTCCCAATTTTTTTTTTTTTAAACACAGGGTCTCATTAATAACATTGGGTCAGGCCAAGGATATGGCTCAGTGGCACAAGTGCCTGGCTGGCAAGTGCAAGGTCCTGAGTTCAATTCCCGATAACAACAACAACAACAAAATAATAATAATAATAATAATAATAATAATAATAATAACAATAACAACATTGGGTGACATAAACACTCACCATTCTTTCCTAACCCTAACCCTAACCCTAACAAAAATATATACTTTAGTGTTATAATAGCCAGCTATGTATCTCAGCAGCTGTGCCCAGGGAACAAAAGAAGCAATCTTGGTGTTTACCCATTTGGTATAATCAGTGTGAAGGTGTGTGATCACGCAAAATGTCAAACTTGGATTTTTTTACCCATATAATGCTCCATCTAATTTTTGCATGTGTATACCTGAGCTTTCTACATCTAAATTTGCTACATGAAATTTATTTATTTTTTTATTTTTTTTGATTTTTCTCCGGTACCGGGAACCGAACTCACGACCTTGCGCATGCCAGGCAGGCGCTTTTGCCGCTGAGCTAAATCCCCAGCCCCATGAAATTTATTTTTGACCAAACTCTGAAAATAAGCTTGGCATGGGAAATATATATAACTGGCAGCTATACAAAATTTTTATTTCTTTGCAAGATTCTGCTAAATCTAAAACACTGCAAGAGTTTTACTGTACTGTGCATATTTTTAAAACAAAATACAATGTTTATTCCTCACTCCTATCAGTTTCTGAATTTCCCATTCAATTCCAAGTCATTCAAAATTTGGTGAAAGAGGCAAGGAGATTCACTTGGTTTAACTTCAAAGGTATTATAAATGTGCAAAGGACTTTTCCTTTACATACCTGTAACACCAGGTATTCAGAAGGCTGAGGCAGCAGAATTGTAAGTTCAACAATAACCTGGGTAACTTAGTGAGACCCTGTCTCAAAATTAGCTTAGCATGCATCAGGCCTTGATTTCAATCCTGTGTGTTCACCTCCATATATATTTACACTTTCAATCCACGTTTTCATTATTACAAAAAAAAAATTTCCAGGTAGTCATTAGAAAAATTGCCTAACTAAAGAGCTGATCCTTTTTTGAATTTTTTCTATTTATTTATTTATTTACATCATTACATGTTTGTCATATATATATATTCATCGTGGTTGGTACCTATACATATCACATCTTAATCCTTTCCTTACTTTACCCTTCCTTCCTTCTTTACCCTCTTCCTCAATCATACATCTTTACTGAAACATGAACAAACAAAATATATTCCACAAGTACAAAATTAGAAGGAAAAAGATGCTAGCAGAATCAAAATGTCAACAAAAGTTTGAAAGGTACAAGGTATACAGACAAGTGCTAAATGACATAACAGAATGGAGAAAGCTGAGACAGAAGTGCTTACAGAGAAGGAATTCGATAAGCATCAGATATTATGTAAGTCAGAACATTCCTCTATTACTACAAATAGAAAAGTGGAATGAAAACAAAGCACTGGCTGAAAGGCTATATAAATAAGCAACAATAAGACCTACCAGATTTCAAAAATTACCAAAAAGTCGGGTGATGATTCCTCTTCAAAAATTCCAAGAAATAAGGTTCTAGGGGAAATACAGGATCCAAGAAACAGGGGATGCAAAATAAGAGACAGGTAAGGGTTTTCCCAGAATAACAATGAAAAGCAAGTAAAGCAGATCAAATTGGAGTAGGAAATAGAAGCTTCAGCAGTGACAGTTTCAAAAAAAAAAAACTAAACTAAAATTGGTCAATTACCTGGTGTTTGAACTTACTGAGGAGTTTTTGGGTTCTGATGGAAAACTGGGAAATAAACTGATAAAAGCTATGTAAACAAAAGACTCAGAGAAAAAGTAAAAACATTAAATCTAGGAAAAGCAACAAGAGAGAAACATGCAAAGAAATGTAATCAGCAGAAACTGTGTGTGTGTGTGCGCGTGTGTGTGTGTGTGTGTGTGTATATGTGTTTGTACTATACAGGAAATATATATACAAGTAGAACTGCTCTGAATATTTACCTTGTTATAGTCATATCAACACTGGCTAAAGTGTTTAACTAGGAAGTGTAATGTAACCTTCCTCAGAATGAGAAGAGGGAAGTATGCCTTTGGAGAGCAGTAGAAGAGAGCGAAATCTATAACTTCCATATAACATCTAAAAGTGATCAGTTAAGCGACAAATATTATAAGCACACTGAAGAGAAATATAACAGGAAAAAACAAAGAAAAGTTAAATAAACACCTAGCCATTGCCTCAATGGAGAGTTTTCAATATAGCCTATAGGAATAATTGATTTTAACAGAGGGTATGCTCTAAATTTTATACGAAAAAGAAACTAGAAAAGACAAATGATAAAACAGATAATATATAAAATATGTTAACATACTACATTTTATCTGAAATAAGACGGAATATAGTATATACCTCACACAATGACCATATTTATATATAACACGAGAACTAATGCATGTCAACGATCAGAATAAAAAACTTAATATTGGATTTTAATGAATTTTCAGGAAAGGCTATTACTTGCTGAAAAATATCAACTAAAATTAACACAATAAAAAAGACAATCAGATTTAAAATACCTCTTAGTGCAAGGCAAGAGGAGGTACACATTACCACGTATGAGTGCATTTGCCAAAAACTGAACTTAAACCTGATCAGGCCTGTGCATCTAACTACCAGTTTATAGGAAACATAAAAGCCAGTGAATTTCACCATAGGGCATGCTTTCTTAAAATGAATGGAATAATGGGGAAAAAAATGAAAACCACAAATTCAAATTAATAAGAGATATTCTATGCTTTAAAAAACCAACACTGTATTTGTGAGCAAATGAGGAAATTAAGTGTAATGGTATTGTAGCAATGTTTAAAAGGTCCTTATCTTTTAACAACATATTCTGAACTAATTTCAGGTGAAATGATATGGTCTCTGGGATGTGCCCTAAAATAATCAGAAAATAAAATAGATGAAACAAGAGTGGCCCTGTTAGTAATGGATGAAGATGGGTTAGTGGACACATAGACGTTCACTTTTTTATTATACCTGTTATTTCCAAATGCATACTATATGAAGTTCACTTAAAAACTGAAAATTTTTATGTATTAAGACGTAAATTTTACTCTATTTCTTTTCCCTACAGACCACTCTGGAGAAACCAGAGTATAGTACAACAACCACTGATAATTTCCTGCCATTTCTGTAACTCACTATTATTTGTCTATTTGTTTTCCTGAGAAATTATCTTGAAGATACCAATAGGTAAAATAACAACCATTGATAATGTCCTACCACTTTGTAATTCAGTGTATCCCCCTACAGCTTTGCTGTTCTTTTACTCTTTAAAATAAAAAATAAAGAAATTTTACACATTTTTCTATCCAAGTACACCACAATCATTTCGGCGAACATTCACGAATATAAAATCTTTCCACGTACCTAATTATATTGCTAATATAGCCTAAAAGTAATGTTTACTTTCCATAAAATACTGCCAGTATTAAAAAAATCAATTCTAACTAGAAATCTTTAGCTGACTACAATGTTCTACTCTTCATATTCTGAAATATGTCCATGACATGAATCTATGATAGTCATGTATCAAACAGAAATAAACTGGTTACCTCTCTCAATTTGTCTCGCTCACGCTCCCTCTCAGCAATTCGTTTTCGCCTCTCCTCCTCTTCTTTAAGAGCATTTTGTGTTTCTGTTCTTAGTTTATCATCTTTAAGAATCTTACGAATTTTCTTTCTGCCTTTTCCAGGAGACTTAGAATCATCGTTTTCATCTTCCTCTTCCTCCTCCTCCTCCTCCTCTTCCTCCTCTTTGTCTTCTTCAGAATTGCTCTATGGAATTTTAATCATTGGAGGTAAACAGTAAAAAGTTTTATAACTTTCCCCAAAATTTAGGCATAGAATTACATAATCAGTCACTTACACCATTCCATATATGCTGAAAGAACTGAGAAGCTGGGACTAGAACAGATACTTCTACAGTCATGTTCAGAACACCATTATTCAACATAGTCATGGTCAATAGGGGGCAACAACTCATATGTGTCTCACACACCAACAGATGAATGGATAAAAAGAGTATGTAGCATGCATAGACAAAGAATTAGCCAGAGTAAAAAGTCATAAAATTCTGATACATGCTGTAAGACAGATGAACCCAGAAAACATTATATCAATAAAATAAAACTTAAAAAATAACATATAGTTCTACATTTTGGAGGTACTTAAAAAGAGGCAGGCAAAAATTTATTTAGAGGTTAACTGGGGGTGGGGAATAGAAGGGAAATGAGAGTTAATTTTTAATGGGTCTGAAGTTTCTGCTTCTGAGTATAATTAAGGCCACTAAATAATATACCTTAAAATGTTTAAAAGTTAATTTAAAAAACTGATTCCCTTCTTCCTCCAAGAGAGAATACAGTTAACAGAATCAAACCTGTTACAGCAATTTTTGCTTTAAATTGACCTACCCCAAAAAAGAAACTCAAATTGGCTAATCTCATTGCCAGAGAAACGTATTCACATGTAACTCAGGATACACTGCTTTATGTCTTCCTAAACTATAACACCTTTCAATTTCCATGGCCCTACCCCTATAAAATAAATTTAAATGGTTTGAAATTTCCATCAGAAACAAAGGTAAAGAAAAAGTGATAATATGTTAACACTTACATGTATCCACTTCTTAATATTAAAAGTTAAATTTTATCTACACCATATTATAATACTTGCATGTACTTAGATATTTAACAAAATAATCTTTCCATGAGTATGAACAATAATAGACCATTGGTACGTACCTAATGACTAGAACATAGACATAACAATACACTTATTGTGGTGTACTATAATAATAATTCAAAAGCACAATCCATAGTATTACCTTGTTTTCACTAGATGAATCTTCCTGAACCTTAATGCGTCGCCTTTTTTTCTTCTGTTTATAACTCCGTTGATTTTCTTCTAATTCTGCTTTCTTTGCAGACCTGAAGAGAATTTAAATGAGAAATAATTTATTTCATGGTCTTGCAATAAATTATATACTATTTTAGATGACTGTAAACTGCGTGAAATAAAAACGTAGTAATAAAAAATTTTTAGGAAAAGGTGGCAGGGGCTAGGGCAAATATGTAATAGGACATTATTGTTTAATGAGTACAAAAGAGTTCCAGTTTTAGACGATGAAAAAGTTCTGGAGATTGGTTGCAAAAACAGGTGAACATATTTAACACTACAAAACTATATACTCAAAGTACTCTATATAGACACAATGGAGTACTACAGGACTACAATGAATAAAAATGACATATTTTTAGAAAAGTGGATGAAAGTTGAGACCATACGGTGAAATGAAATAAACCACACACAAAAGGTTTAATACAGTATCACATGGTTTCCTTATATGAGAAACCCAAAGTATAAATACTCTGAAGAATAAAAGAAAAGACAGATGATAGGAAACCCAGAAGTAGACTTTGGAGCTGGAAAGGGAATATGAGAATGGGGAAAGTTTAGGGGTTGGGAAAAGTAAAAAAGAATTAAAACATGTATATACACCTATTTCCCACAATGAACATATTTATTATGTAAAATAAACATATACTAATATATCATACATGTTAAAATGATTTTTATCATGAGATTATCAGTCTGGTTCTTTGATATAAGAAATATGCAAACATATATATGTTTTAAAATAATTTTTAAATGATTTAGATAGTAAATTTTATTATGTATATTTCACCATCATTAAAAATAACCATTAACAGAATACAAAATCAACACACAAAAATCAGTAGTGCTTCTGTACCAAATAATGAACCCACTAAGAAAGAAATCAGGGAATGAATTCCATTCAAGACAGCTTTCAAAAAACTTAAATGCTTAGGCATCAACCAAAGTAGGTAAAGACCTCTATAATGAACATTAAAGAACACTGAAGAGAGAAATTGCAGAACACATCAGAAAATGGAAAGATATCCCTTGTTTATGGATAAGAGAAACTAAAATTGTGAAAATGGCCATACCAAGAGAGATTTACAGATTCCATGTAATCTATTAAAATGCCAACAGTATGCTTCCCAGAACTATCAAAAGCAAACCTGAATTTCATGTGGAAATAGAAAGATCCAAAACAGCTCCCCCAACCCAGCCACCCCCCCACCCACATACCACCATCCTGAACAAAAGATACAATGCTACACTCATCACTACACTGGACTTTAAGCTATCCTATAAAAACAACATAGAAAAAAAAAATTAAAACAATATAATACTGGCACAAACATAGAAGTGCAAACCAATGAAACAGACCAGAAGACACAGAAAAAAAAAAAATCCAGAGAACTACAGCCATGTGATCTTTAACAAAAAGGCCAAAAACGTACGCTAGGAAAAAGATAGTCCCTTAAATAAACTGTGCTAGGCAAGCTGGATGTTCACATGCAAAAAAAATGAAACTAGATCCTCATTCATCACCCTGTAGTAAAAAAGAATCAAAATGGATCAAGGGATTCAGCATCACGGTGGGCTAGAGGGAGCAGTGCTCACAAGATGTTCAGAAGATACTCACCAAGGATCGCAGCAACTTGGATGTGGGGGTGGGGAGGGGTGGGGATAGCCACATGACAAAACCCAACCAGGGGTGGGTAACTTGAAGGAGAAGCCCATCAGATGAAATCTAGTAACTGGGGTATGTTGAATAAGAACAAGGGCCACTTCTCATCCCACTACTGCTTACAGTCCACATCCTGCCAACATGCCATCTTGGAAAGGTTCAAATTTCCCCAAGAGAAGAAGGTGAGCACAGTGACTGCCAGGGTACTGACCGGTGTCCAGCCTAGGAGCTGCCACTATGCCCATCTTGCCTAACTCTCCTCCTGCAAGGGGGCGGGACCCAGTGACAAGAGATTCTCACTAAGGAACGTGGAAGCCACCGAATTACTCACAGGGCAGTGACTGAGTTAGGACCAGTGAGTCCTAGGGACAGGGAGGAACGAAATGCACTGTCCTAGTCAGGGATGGGGAACCAGACACCGAGGGATCTGTCAGACAGTGAGTCACAGTAGCGTGCTGCAGGTAACTGTGACCAGGGGGAACAAGAGGTGGAGAAAGGATCCTGGAGTACTGTCAGAGCACGTTCTCTCCCAGCACCTTCCCAAACCCTAGAGAGTTTGGGGCCTATGTGCGCTCCCTCCTGCCCATCCCCAGCTGCCACTGGATTTCCTGTGAACTGGTCTCTTCTGTCTATCTCATCCCTGAATTCACAGGGAGGAAACAGACCCTTTGTGAAGCTGAACATCTGGGACGGGGGATCACTGAGGGTAAAAAAAAATTCAGATCACTGTCTGGGGAGGGGAGGGGAGAGGAGGGGAAATTTTGGCATGCAGGGGCATTGCTTTGACTTAGGAATAAGGGGGATAGAAAAGTTATCCGAACAGTGTGCAGGTGCAGGGATGCTGTCTCCTGCTTGACTACAGGATAGCATTGAATTTGCTGTGCAGAAAAACCCTGAGAGGAACTGAGACATAACTGCAAATGGGGAGCATGGGAAGCTGAGACAGGGGAACTGAGTGGATCAAACACCAGAGCCTGTGGCAGAATCACAGCTGGGGAACCTGAAGTTACTGAAGTTGCTACTTGTCAGTGGGAAGAACACTGGCAACTTGCCACAGCTTTGTGAGAACAACTGAGGCTCCTGAAAACAGAGGCCTGTATGTTGATTTTGTGAGGGGGTTTTTTTGGTGCGTGTGTGTTTTCAGTTGTTTGATTTTTTTTGGCTATAAGCCTTTGTATGTGTGTGTTCGTGGTTATAGCAATGTGTATACATTTTCTATGGTTGCTTGTAAAACATTCCTAGTACTCACTTTGCATTTGCCCACTTCCAAGGTTGTTTCCGGATGTTATCTAAGCTCACTTGATCATTAGTTCAACAGTTGGATACAACCTCCCATTTCGCTTCGCAAATTCCACCTACAAATTCATCCTTTCCTTCCCTGGGTTACTTTCCGCTCACACCTTCTCCTATCTCTTAGCTCTTGCATCATATTTTTTATTACTTGTTTGTCTTCCTATCCCTTTCTATCTATTCCTTTCTTTTATACATAAACTATTAAGATAAATCTAAATGCTACAGCATGTTAACAATTCATATTAGTTTTCCTCTTCAGCAAGGGCTGTTCCATAGGGTTTCTAAAATTAGTCACTTTGTTAGGATACTGACTGGAATAAATCTCCCTGTATCTCTTTCACTACCAATTGAAAGTCTCTCCCCCAGTCTTTCCTCACTTACCCTTTGAAACACTAATCACGCCCCCCACCCTCCCCTTTCTTTCTTAAAAATGAAAGCTATTATAAAAATTTAACTGCTTCTATTTTTCTATTTTAGCATGTATATGTTCATGAGAAATTGTATGAATGCTAATGAACACTTTTGTTTCTCTACTGTCTTATGACAACCAATAGGTTTTCCATCAACAAAAGCATTGCTTTAGTCTTCTAACATAATTTCTGCTAGTTTATAAACTGGATACAATCACCATAAAAACTTCCCTACTTTCTGCTCATAAATCCCTCCCTTTCCCTCTACCCCCACACATATCCTTCCAAACACCCTCCCTCCCTCCCTTGATCTTTCCAGGTATAAAAAGATCATCAAAAACTACTTTGTCTTCTTTCATTCTTTGTGTTACTTTTTAGCCTCCCTGTGTTTTTCTCAATTTTTCTTTTCCTTTTTTTTAAATCTTCTTCTCTGTTATCCTCTCTTCTCTCCTAGAACTTTCTCTACCATTATTAATCCTTTATATTGCTGGGTTACTGAAAGGGTATAAAACCTGCTAAGCAAGTTTAGCACTCCACTACCTCTGCATTATGTATCAGTATATGATTGATTCTTCATATGTTAGTAGTATCAGCAGCTAGCTGTTCTCTCCTTGCAATTCAGTGCTCAGAACCAATCCTTTTTCTTTGAATAAGTTGAGTAGGTGTCTCTGCACTAAATCACACCCAAAGCTAAAGGCACATCACAGGGAGAAATGCATTTACTAAAGAGATCTGTACTAGAGTTGTAGAGCTTTCGAGCCCTAATGATCCATAACATTTAACAAAGAAGTACAAGAATCATAAGAAAACAAAGCAACAGGATGCCTAAAAAATAGATTATTGCCCAAGATAGGATATTATGAGCACCGTAGTGGAGAGAAATCTCAGGAAAAGAACTCAAAAGCCAAATGTTTGAAGAGATCACAGAAGAATGTATGAAGAAATTACCAAGATATTCCATGAGCTCAAAGAAGATATAAAAAACTGACTGAATTAAAGACAATGATGAGGAATATGGATGACCACCTTAGTAAAGAACTACAGATTCAGCCAGGCAGGTGGCACACACCTGTACTCCCCCAGCACTAGCAGGCTAAGACAGGAGGATCCCCATGAGATCGTGACCAGCCTGGACTACATAAGTGGGTTCAAGGCCAGAACAAACAAACAAAAAAACAAACAGAAAAGAACTACAGACTAGCCAAGTGAGGTAGCTCATGCCTCTAATCCAACATTCTGGGAGGCTGAGGCAGGAGGACAGTGAGTTCAAACCTAGCCTGGGGAACTGAGAAACTGAGCAAGTCTCAATTAAAAAAAGAAAAACGATATAAAGGGCTGGGGACATAGCTCATTGTGAAGGTCCTAAATTCCATATCTAGGACTAAAAAGAAAAATTAGTGGTTATGAAAAGGAATGAAGCAGAAATCCTGGAAATACAAAAATATACTGGAAAGCAATACCTGTAGATAGAACCAATCAGGGGAGAGACTACTAGGGCCTGAGGACAGAATGGTGTCAGTGGTACTTTAGTACTTGCCAGTAACTGGTTTTGGAAAGCACAAGTATCAAAAACAAACCATTTTGTGTGAAAAGAGTAGCAAGTTACACAACAGTCAGCACCAACAAGTCCTAGCTTCTGTGTTGAGTACTAAACAAATGATGCATAAGAGAACAAACTTTTTACATCAAAATGTGTCAAGAACCAAATTCGATAAGTTTCAAAGCAACTGCATACCAAAGATGACTACAGTAGATCATTTAGTCAGTAGCACTATAAAAACAAGAATCCATGAAACGTGGTCCCAGCCAAGATTATTATAACCTTCAAAATTAGCTTTCAAAGCTGATAAAATAAAAATCCTTCACAACAAAGAGAATCTAAAGAAATTCATAACCACAAAGCCAGCATTACAAAAAATAACTTTTGGGAACTCGAAACAAATGCAGCAAGGCAAACATCACCAGATTCCAAAGGACACAATACACCTAACTGGAAGAGTAGTTAAACAAAAGGAAAATAGGAAGCAGCGATGAAAAATTAACACAGTAACAGGAATGACACAGACGAGCACACTGGGCCAAAAACCAAAAGCTAACTGTGTGCTGCACGCAAGAGACACACCTCATCCATTAAAAAACAAACAAACATGGACTAACAAAGAAATGATGGAAAATAATACTCCATGTAATCAGAACTGAAAAAATGCTGGAGTATTGATCCCAATTTCACACAAATTCGACTCCAACTCTAATCAAAAGAGACAAAGAAGTTCACACTGCACATTGGTAAAGAGAATAATTGAGCAGGAAGAGTTCATTTTAAATTTACCTGTACCGAATGTTGGTGCACCCTATCTCATAAAACAAATACTAGGCATAAAATGCCAAGAGAACAAATACACACCAATACATTCATAGTGGAAGCCTTCAATACCCCACTCTCACAAGTAGGTCAAACAAACAAAAGCTCTAAATATTTTAAAGCTTATGAGCACAGATAGACATCTGAGTCGACATACACACACACTCTCACAAAAACACGAATAACATGCTCATTTGCCAAACTATACAAGAGTCATGATATTCTGGGAAGAAAAATCTTAGAATGGTTAGTATTACCCCCCCCAAAAAAAACAAAGCAAAAATAACTAATAATCCAGATCAGGAGAAGCACATGTTGTGAAAGCAAATACATCTTTATTTCTCTAAGACCAATAATTAATGTTAACTGACAAACTGCAGTGTGGGTAATTAAAAGTCTTTTACTTATATCATCTCATTTAATAGCTGCAATAATCAATTAACATAAGAATACTGTAATCGTCTATTTTACGATGAACAAACTGATGCATACAATATTCATACAGATAGAAAGTATTAAAATCAGATGTTAGATTGGAGTCTATCTACAAAGCCTCCCTTCCTCTCCTCTCCCCTCCTCTCCCCTCCCCTACTACAACGCAACTTCCTCCTATAACAACCAAAAATTTCAGTAAATAGTGGTTTTACAAAGAAAAACCAGAAAGGTTAGAACACAGTTCAACTATATGTGAAATGTGTTTTTGCTTTTTAAATTAAACACTTTAAAACTAGGTTCAAATCTAAACATTATATATTATAATTATTAACTTTACTGGTTATGACAGCCATTCTTCAAATAACTTGAAGCCATTCTTCAAATAACATTCACATTAATTCTTAAAATTTGTGAAAAACAATGTAATACTTACCTTGTTCGGGGTCGCTGTTCATCTTCAGAATCACTAACTTCTTCACTAACTGCTGATTCCTGAAAATCAGTGTCTTCTGAATCTTCACTGCTCACTTGAATTTAAAAATATATTAAATTATTAGACATTTCACAAAAGAAATAAATTCACTTAATAAACCAATTAACTTCACACGAGAACTTTGGTAGCTGTAATAATATCAGGAATACACATGAATGCATCAGGCACCATAAAGCAGTGGTTGCGAACCAATGGCACGTGTGCCGCAGCAGGCTGTTTACATCATTGAAAGCTCTAAAAGGTTCACCATTGCTGTCATATACAAAACACTAGTTGATGATTTAAGTGGTAAAGGTTGAATATTCCTACCCCCATAAATCTGAAATTCTCCAAAATATAAAATTTTCTGTGTCAAGATGATTGCACAATTGGAAAATTTCATATCTGACCACACATGATAAGCCACAGTCAAAATTCAGGCACACCAGGAATATTGTATAAAATGTTGGAACAATGTAAACAATAAAGTAAAAACCATAGGCTATGTGTATAAAATGTATATAGGAAATATAAATTTCACATTTAGACATGAGTTCCACACCCAAGGTATCTCATATATGTATATGCAAATATTCCAAACTCCAAAAAAAATTCAAAATGCAAAACATTTCTGATCTCATACATTTTGTTAAGGATACTCAACCTGTATTTACAAATATAATTCAAATGCATTCCAAGTGTAATTGTTGTAAAACCATCGTTCTGCATTAAAATGTATGTATTCAGTTGTATATGGATTGAAAATGAAAAATTACCAGTCAATAAAATATACAAGTAATTGCCATAGGTAAATTAATAAAAAAAATCTGGTTATTTGACACAAGCAAAGTAGGCTGGTCAACACGGAAAAAGGTGATTATAGCCTCTTACACAATGATAACTATAAATTATAGAAATGACATATAAGAAACAGCCTTAAGACTCTGAAAGGGAAATAACAGCAGGAAAATTTGGGAATGAAATCACAACCTGAAAAATTACCCATCTATAACTGGGGTGAAGTTGGCAGGAGAAGACACCTGCGAGTGTCATAGCTATTTTTCTTCCTTTGTCTCCTCATTTTCACTGGTAGACAGGCTCAATTCCAAACTGTGAAGAGGTACTGAGAATAAAACTCTAAGTTATCCAGGTATATCACTAGGAAAAAAGAGACTCTGCCTGTTATGATCAGAGTATTGATGGGAAACTCCAGTTTTGTTTCTCTCTTCATTTCTATAATCACGATTGTGAGAGATGAGACATTTTTCTGGCCAGGAAAAGCAAAGCAAGAAAAATATGAGTCTGAAATACCTTCACAGCTCCCCCGCAAAAGAAATCAGTGGTCAAATAATGATGGGCACATAATGAAATAACACAGGGTTCAACTTGAAGGAACACTCAGTAGACAAGGCTAGAACAATGTAAACAATAAAGTAAAAAGCTGATCTCACAGAAGTGGGGAGTAGAATAGTGATTTCCAGAGATAGGGGAGATTACTGGGGAAAGGGGAGACAGAAAGAGTTTGGTTAATGGGTATAAAGTCATTAATAGATTGGAAGATTAAGTTCAGTAACACTACACAGAAAGGAAATTTACTTAACAATATTGTATATCATGTATTTCAAAATAGCTAGAAAGTAAATTTTTCTATGTTCATACCAAAAACAAATGATAAATGTTTGAGATGATGAACTAAATATCTGAGACTTGATCATTGCACAATGTATACATGTACCAAAACATCACATTGTATCTTATAAATATGTACAATTATGATGTATCAATTAAATTCGAAACAAAGCAAATATCAGTAAATCCAAATTCATACATGTGTGTATACATATACATACATACATACATACATACACATTACTAACTAGGAATAAATAGTTCTTTCTGACATTTACTAAATGTTGAAGTAATAATGAAACACATGAAAAATCACCATTAGGCAAACACCAAAGTAATAACCACTGCAGGCACAATGGCTGCTAAACTTAGTGAGTTTAAGTAGAATGAGAAATAGGATAGTTACACAGTCTCAAAGCATATCCCCACACAATATTCATTACCTAAAAATAAGAAAATAACTACCTTTCTTTTCTCATTGTGGTACTGGGGATTGAACCCAGGACCTTTACACTAAGCTATGTCCCCAGCTCTTTTTCATTTTTTGAGACAAGGTCTTGCTAAGTGGGCTCAAACTCAGTTCTCCTGCCTCAGCATCCCAGAATATTAAGATCATAGGTGTGTGCCACTGTGCCTGGCTTGCATTTATTTTTATAAGAGAAAAAAACCTGCAAACACCAACACAGCCAACTAATCAAGGTTAGTATTACCAGTAAAAAGCATACTGTTGCCATATGCACTTAATGTGATGTACTGAAAATGACACAATATGGTTTCTATGGGTATTCTCGTAAAAATGTACAATAACCTCAATTTAATTATTGGAAAACAGACAAACATCAAGGAACAGTTGGGAAAATTATGGATTCACATTCTTCAAAAGTCTCAAATCATGAATGAAAAAACTGAGGAACTGTCGTAAGTTAGAATAAAGACACACAATAAATAAATGCAAGATGAGACCCGGAATTGGCTCCTGGAGCAGAAAAAAAAAAAACATTAGGGGAAAACTAGTGACCTTCGAATAACGTATATGGCTTACTTCAAAGGGTAGAAAAGGTTTTATAACTTTATGGACCATATGGTCTCTGTTACAACTACTGATTTCCATTCAATCTTGCCATAGGGCATATGTGAAAGAAGAAAATGAATGAATATGGCTGTATACCAAAACAACTTTATAAAAACAGGCAGTCAATCAGTTTTGGCCCATAGGTGCCATTTGCTACACCTGGTTTAATTAATAGTATTATACCAATGTTAATTTCCTGGTTTTGATAAATGTACTATGATAACTGTAATATATTAAATTAGGGAAGCTATAGTGAAAGCACACAAGAAATCTGTTAAATTTTTGCAACATTTTTGTAAGTTCAAAATTTAAAAAAAATTAAAGCACTATCTTGACCTGAGATCAGAATCAAAGCTCTATTCTAGCTAATGAAAAAAAAAAAAAAAAAAAAAGGATAGGGGAACAAATACTGTAACTAATTGCTAAGGGGAATAGCCAAAAACGGAATAAGGAGTTATAGTTCAATGGGTATAGAGAGTCCATTTGAGATTATCAAAATATTCTGGAGATGGACAGTAGTGATGATTATATAATAATGTGATGCCACCAAAATGCACACTTAAAAATGGTTAAATTGTGCTTGCTTTGGTAGCACATATACTAAAAAATGGTTACACTGGCAAATTTTAGAATATTTATATTTTACCATAATTAAAACAACAAAACAACAGAAAACAATTGCTAAACAAGAAGTTGAATGAAATATAAAAACACACACTGACATTTGTGCCCACATACAAAGCAACACTGAATGAGTAAATTTTAAGCATTAGTTTTCATCCAACGTTAATTTTCATCCAACATGAAATTTTGAAAATTTTCAAACCTACCAAACATTTAAAAAAGCATTAAAGGAACACATGTGCCTTCTCCTAAATTCATAATTGTTATCAAAATACCAAATCTGCTTTATAGCCACACACATTAAACCAACCACCTTTTCTACACTGTACCATGCGAAATTAAATGCAGACATCATGACACTTTATCCCTAAGCATAAGGATATGTTCTAAAGAAATGTCACTAAGACACCTGAAAAAATAGAACCATTAGTATCTATTATAAAGGCATGCCGGGGATGTAGCTCAGTGGCACAAGCACCTGCCTGGCAAGTGCAAGGTCCTGAGTTTGATTCCCAGGAGCAAAAATTTAAAAAAAAAGTAATGTTTACAAAAGTGCCATTAAAATAATTTTATGACATTTTTCCAATTTAGGAGAAAATTAAAGTTCACAAGCTGCGTTGTTCTCTAACCTATATGACACACTTAAATTTAATATTAAAGATTAAATGATTGTATTTACTAAGTACATGATTACTTTTTGATTTCTCCCCATCTCCCAATTAAGATTCCCAGACAATATATCAAACAAGAGTTTGCAAATCTATCCTCTGAGCTACGTGGACATTGCCATCCCATGCAACACGGGAGATCACTCAGTGGGGTTCTGATGTGGCAGTGTATGTGAAAATTTTGAAAAATTAAAAAAAACAAACCTAAAAAAATGCAACTCAAATGTATTCATCAGTATGACCATAAAAATATAATGGAATATTAGAAGTGTATCCCCTTTTACACAAACAAAAAAAATACCACCTGGGTAATACCATGCTACCTTGGTTCACAAGCTCGATTATTTCTATGATTCTGGTCACAAACAAAGTTGGACAAGAAGCAAATCAAATTCAATGGTTAGGTTTTATGTTAACCTTATGGGGAAAGTTGACTTGTTTTTTTTTTTTTTTTTTTTTCTTGAGGCAGGGTCTTGCTTTGTAGTCCAGGCTGGTCTTGAACTCACTATGTAGCCTAGGCTTGTCTCAAACTCTCAGCAAACCTCCTGCCTCAGCCTCCCAAGTGCTGGGATCACAGGCATGTGCCATCATGCCCAGCTCTGACTTGGTTCTTGTCCAGTTCAGTTTGTGACCAAAATTGTGGAGAAACTGACTTTGTGAACCAAGATACCATTGCAAATTACCCACAGAAGCAGGCAATGAAAATATATGCCAAAGAAAGTTTGGGCTTTCATAAAGCAAATCTTTAACATAATCATCAACACTAAAGCACTCTACATCCTAAGCAAAGTCTCAAAGGCAAAGCCAATATGGTTCCCTTTGTTGAAGATCTACAGGAATCTATGTTGGCACTTAACCTGTTAAGTAAAATCGGAAAGAGCTCACAGTCATGCTGTAAAGAAACTGATGAGCATTCACAATCTAGCCATATGGCATCTTTGATTAAAAACGGTTCAATAGGGAAAAAAGTGGTCCTGCTGAGGTTGTGATTCCTGGGTGCAAACAATGAACATTCTGTTGCTGTAGCAGGGTACCCTCCATGTTCATGAGGTTGTCTTCCTATGACATTTGTATGTATTTCAAATTTAAAAGTTTTTTATAAATGGTGTATTCTGTGAGTATATTATAAATTTAAATTATACACCATAAATAAGCGAACTGTATGGTTTGTAATGATATGCTAATATAGCTATTATATAAAAATGTAAAATAAAAGCAACTTTTAAAAATACTTCAATGGCTCTGGAGGCTAAAGAGGTTCTGTATTTCTGAAAGATTTCCAAAATTGCTTTCCCTTTCCTAGAAGCAAGAAAGTTAATCTGCACTGGAGGAGTTGCATTATATGCATATTATACATAGCTTCAGAATCTGCCCCTTACAGCCAGGCTTGGTGGCTCATGCCTGTAATCTTAGCACTCGGGAGACTGAGGCAGGAGAACTGCCACAAGTCTGAGGCAACCTTGGGGTATATAGTGAGTTCAAGACTAGCCTGAAATGCACGGCAAGACCCTGTCTCCCCTCAACCAAAAAAAAAAAAAAAGAAATCAGCCCCTTATAAAGACAAAAGAATTCTTTGGCTTTTATTGTTAAGCCAAATTCCTACTTAAATATCATATTTAATTACCCAATGCACTTGATTATTTCACATAGAAATGCTCTCCCTAAATATAACAGATGTACCCTTTGGTATATGCCACCAATTATTCCAGTTTGAGAAACACAAGATTATAAGGGTCTCCAGTATCTGGTCTCTCAGTCTCATCTTCTGTCGCTCTTTTCCTTTCTCCCACCTATCGTCCACATTAACTTCATTCCTTCCACTATGTGCCAAATATTTTTTGGTTTGTTTTTTTTTTGAGACAAGGTCTCACTAGGTAGTTCAGGCCGGCCTTGAACTGATGGCAATCCTCCCGCCTCAGCCTCCCAAGTGCTAGGATTACAGGCATGCACCACCACGCCGGTCCATGTGCCAAACATTTTACACAGACTTTTACATTTTTCCCTGCTTGGATTATAAATCTTTACAACACACCTACCTGACCCCTTTCCAACTTGATCTGCTGGGTAAAACCCTTCCTCTTTCTGAAACCTTTTCTGAGAATAACACCCATTCTTCCAAAAAGCTAAAGACATCCTCCTTTGTGCGCACTAGACAATACCTCTATTACACAAAACAATGCTCATGGTGCTTTAAGTTTTTATAATGTTGTCTATAATTCATACTAAATTGTCAGAATTTGCTACATATCAGATCACTAAGAAACTTCTGAAACATTTGATTGTCTAGGTCCCAGCACCACTAACAATGATATAATTGGCTTGCCATGGAGCATAGTCATACATACTTTTTTTTTACTTCCTGATACATAATAATCCTACATATTTAGAGTACAGTATGATAATTTAATACATATATACCACGTGTAATGAGTAAGTCAAGAAAATGAGCATTTCTTGCTTCTTAAACATGATTTCTTTGTGTTAGAAACTTTTAATCTCCTCTGTTCATAAAACATGTAATAAATAGTTATATACTATAGCCACCCTGCTGCACTATAGAACAGTAGAACAATTCCCTCTAATCTAACTGCATTTTGGTACCTTTTGTCCGTTGTATTCACCCTCTCCCTAACCTAGCTTTAAAAAGGTTATTACTATTCTACTCTGTAGTTATGAAATCAAGCTTTTATACTTCTACAATATGATACCATGTGGTAATTATCTTTCTGGACCTGATTTACTTCACTTTCCATAATGTCTTTCAGTGTCTTAAGTATAATTTAAAACTTAAGTAATTTGCATGTATACCTAGGTTGAAAACCATTGTACCAGATAATGATCTTACTCACTTTTTTGCTTCTTCAATGTTTGAAGTGATGCTAGAAGCATTTAAACTAATGCAAAAGGACTCATACTTTTAATGTACTGAAAATTTAATCTATATATCCAATCCAATTTTTCCTAATAAACTTGTAGACATTTACCCAAATTTCCATCATTCCACAGGAAAGCAATTTTTCTTCTTGTAATTGTGCACAAATCTTGTATTTTCTACATTGCCTTTAAGTATATTTTAATTATTAACTCATTTATTTCTTCTGGGTTAGTTTCCCATTATAAATGTTTTATTTTATCATATAAGAAAATATAGTTGTCCTAACATTCTCTTAGTCCTAGTGGTCAATTCTCTGAGTAAACATACTTAAATTTCATTACTGTAATTATTTATAAAACAGTATGTTTCTTACACTCAGAATAGAAATGTCTTACCCTTCCTTCTATTTCTGCCTTTGACGTCTTTATGTTCTTTAGGCTTTGTCCTTTTTTCTTCTCCAGATTCTCCATCACTCACAGATAGTTTGTGCCTTAAGAGCCTATGTCTGTATCTTGGTTTCTTAGACTCTTCGGAATCTGAATCTGATTCAGAATTGACTTGATTTTTTCCTTCTAAATGAAGAAAACACCAATAAAATATTCTTCAGTGTCTTTTGGTTTTACTTTGTAAAAATATTTTGTCTATGCACAATTACCATCATGTATGGAAAGTATCAGGGCTATACATATACCATGGTGTCACTGGTACCAGTAGCTCATCTTACATATCAAACTTGATATTACCATTATTGAATATTTACCAAGTATCACCAATGTAGATCACTTCATTCTTTTGCATAAAAATCACACTTATTGGCATTGATAAAACTAGAGTAACTTACACCATTTTTACAAGATACTCAGAGGAATGATGGTAATAAAGTTGCAAGCTTTTCTTCTGTGGTATTGGAGATCAAACCTAAGGCATCATATATGATAGGCACGTGCTCCTCCACTGAACTACACTCCCAAGGCCTCACACATTCTAATAAACTTTAAATGTATGCATTAATTAACAGACTTCAGATATTCTTCAAAGGCTGAACCAGTCCAGGAAGCAAATTATGACATCTTATACTTCTCTTGGGGAGCTCACCCTCATCTCCTGCGTTCTCTTCATTTTGTTTTCCAGCTCTTTTTTTCCCTTCTTCTGATTCATCATCTGAAGATCCATCTTCATCAGAGGAAAGATTTGCTTTAATCTCTTCTAAAAGCATCTTCTTGGCAATTCTTAAGAGTAAAAAAAACAAAAAACAAAAAACAAAAAAACAAAAAACTACATATATACCAAATTAAAAACAAAAACAGAATTCTCTGTATCAAAATACTAATAAACATGTTGATTACAGATTTTATACTGTAATTAAGAGACCGGCCAAAACATTTTTTTTAACCAAAGGTACCAACAAACACTTCAGAAAATGTTATTTGTACTGTTATTTTTCAATTCTATATAATTTTCCAATATACTTAAGAATCTCAGAGAAATATTCCATTGACTGTTTTGACCAATTACAACTTGATACTGAATAATGTTCCAATGCTACATATGCTCTGCAGCCATTATCCAATAAATACAATGTCAGACAGTTGCATAAAAGTAAATTTGCTTATCTAGACAAATGGCATTCCTAGAGAACACTCCGCAGGAGTCTATATACTCAACAACAAAATATATTTTGGGCTAGTAGCACATAATAAACCACTCTAATATGAAACAGTGTTTCAAAATGTAGGATACAATTAGTCACTCATGTATAGCTCTATTTATTTTCTTTAGAAGCTACTTCAAAGATACCAAAGTATAGTACAACAACCATTGATAATCTCCTACCACTTTTGTCTGTAACTCACTACTATTTGTCTATTTGTTTTCCCGAGAAACTATCTTGTAGATAACAATATGTAAAACAGCAACCATTGATAATTTCTTGCCACTTTGTCTGTAATTTGGTAAGCCCCCCTATTACTATGTTATCCTTCTTTTACTCTTTAAAATAAATTTTTTAAAAAGTAGGATAATATTTTTCAACCTTAATTTCTATTTACTTCATAAATCTATTAACCCAATGAAAACAACACCAAATATTAAGTATTAAAGTAATCAGGAACCTCTAACAATATTCAAGATAGGGCAGAAAAGAGAAAGGACATGAATACTATTAATTACATACAGAGTTAAACAACATAAACTACTATAAATGAGTTTAGACTTTCAAAAAGTATAATAGCTTCACTCAAACCAAAATTTCTCAAAATGTTCCTCAAAGATCAGCTCATTAATAGAAAATGCAACTGCTAAAAGAATGAAAAAATACTTCTTTTACTAATACCATCATATATTAAAAATGTCTCTAAAAAATTTCCATGTTCCATCTTTGCACTAAAGAAAGTTACCTGAAAATGTAAAAGAAAAACAATCATAACGGCTTTGTGGAAGACAATGGGTTTGATCAGTCTGGAATCCTTTTGCTATAAACTCATAAATCACAGTAGCAAAGGAAAAGAAAGGCTCAGGAAAGAAAAAGGTGAGAACATTCTAACAGTTTGCCATAAGCTTTTATAGGATAAATGTCCACTCTGCAATCAAAACTGATTAACATAATAAGGATCTTAGAGCTGTGTTATGCTTTAAATCTGAAATGTACACCAAAAGCCTGTGTTCACAGGTGGGGACTGATCAGAAGAGGTAGGTCACTGGGGACATGATTACGAAGGGTACATTTTTTGTCTCGTCTCTTCCCATCTCTCCTTCCTAACTGCCCTGGATTAAGCAGCTGTTTGCCAGCATGCACACTTAACATGCCATTTCTGAAGTGAGCCCACTAAAGCCATGAGCCAAATTAAACCTCTCTTCTGTTAAGCTGTGTCAGGTATTGTATCCCAATGACTGGAAAATTAACATAGAAAACTGGTACAGTAGTGGAGTTGTTGCCATGACTATACCTAACCATGTGGTTTTAAAGTCTTTCAAAACAGTTTGTGAGAGGAGTTTGTGAAGGTTTGAAGATACTGGCTGGAGAAGCCCTAGCACACTACAAGCCAAGCTTGATGGGTGATTATGGTTATACCATAAAAGGCCAGAATGCTGATAAAAACACAGACAGTGAAGGCCAGGCTCATGAGGTTTCATATGGAAATGAGGACTACATTGAAAACTGGAACAGAGGCCATGTGTTTCATTCTGGGAAAAATCTGTGTTTTGTTTGTGCAAAAAGACTGTGAGCATTGATGTATTTATGTATGCATGTATGTACGTATGTATTTTTTTGGTTTTTTAAGACAGGGTTTTGCCCAGGCTGGCCTTAAGCTCACTAGGTAACTCAGGCTAGCCTGGAACTCATGGTGATCCTCCTGCTTCAGCCTCCCAAGTGCTGGGATTACAAGTGTACATCACCATGCCTGGTCTTGTGAGGCTAAATTTAAAGGTGACAGACTAACAGATCTGGCAGAGAAAAATTCCAGGATAGTCCAACATTCAGTCTGTGACATGGTTACTGCTGACTACCTTCAGCCAGATATATAGTGGGAATCACGAACAAAAAAAAGTTTCCTACTGAGTTCAAGGTCAGCCTAAACTGCACAGTGAAACCCTATCTCAAAAAGAAAAAAAAAAAAAAAAAAAAAATCAAACAAACAACAACAACAAAAACTGAAGAGCAAATAAAGTTAATAAAGTTTCAACAAGGTTAACAGTGTTGCTAAAAAGATTAACATTTTTTAAAAGCCAAGTACTTTGCATCAGAAAAACAGGAAAATGCCTGAGGGCATACACATCACAGGCTCAAGGATGTAAAAGGGTAAACTCCTTTGAAAGACTCTGAAATCAGAACTCCAGGGCATGTAGCTCATTCAGGACCTCCTAGGGTATCAGCTATCCAAGCACTCAGAGACCACTACAGGCCTAATGGGGCCCAGCTGCTGCTTGAACTGGTAACAGGCTTTGGTATCATCCATGTGTTTCTGGTTTCTCAGGCATACAAAATGCAAAAGCTATGGGGTCACAGAGGCTTCCACAGCAATTTCAAAAGGCATAGATAGCCAGGCATTATTGTGTGACAGGTCATGTTCCCTGCCAGAAGCCCCTGAGCGGGTGATGCGTAAAGCTATGAAAGTATAGCCAAAGATGCAGCAAGACCCCAAAATGTTAGAGATGCCAGAGATGTGGAAAGTCATCTGAAGAAAACTACAGCAAAGCTAGCCCAAGAGAGAGGTCATGTGGGCTATGACCAGTAGGGCAACAGAGATGGTGATTCCCCAAGCCCTATAAGAATTCACATCTTACCACAAATAGCCATGACTGATTGGCATATTGCTACAGGATTTAATGTGTCCCCTGCTAGTTCTGGTCTTGCTTTAGTGGATTCCCCCTATTCCTCCCTTTCTGAATCAGAATGATTACCCTTCGCCATTGTATGTTGAAATTATTTTTAACTTTCAATTTTCACAGGGGTCACAACTCAGCATTTGCCTTGAGTCTGGCAACTCTGGACTTGGACTTTTCAGCAATGCTGTAACTGTTAAGACTTCCCTGACTCTTAGAGATAGACTAATTAATTCATTTTACATAATGAGATTCCCAAGAGCCTTTTAGGACCTTGGGGTGGAATATTATGGTTGAGATCTAAAATACCTCCAAGTCTCCTGTGCTCAGAGGTGAGGCCCGGTCTGAACAGGCAAGGTTACCTGGGGCAAAACCTGGAAGAGTGTATTACTGTCCCTGGCTCATCCCTTCTCTCTACCTCCTGACTACCATGGGTTGAGCAGCTTTTCTCCCTTGGTGCCCACCAGCCATGGAATGAACCCACTGAAAATGTGAGCAAACTTAAACTTCTCCTACTTTAAATTGTGGGTGTCAGGTATTGCTTCCCAGAGGGAAAGGTGATGAATACAAGCTGAGATTATGGAACCTTTGTTATTTCTGGATTAGAATGCCTCTTTATATTCCTTACTATGCATTCACATTTTAATCAAGCATTCATTCAAGGGCCAGGCATGGTGGTACACACCTGTAATCCCAGCACTCAGGAGGCTGAGGCAGGAGGATCACCGCGAATTCGAGGTCAGCCTAGGCTACAAAGTGAACTCAAGGCCAGTCTGACCTGCATAGCAAAACCCTGTCTCAAAGACACACACACACACAATTCACTCAATTGCAGGTGATGTTAATATATGTTAAGGCCTCCTCAGTTGTAAGAGATGAAACGTACATTGGTATTTGTACTCAAAGACGCATAGCATAGGTATTAAACAGACTTAAAACAGGTCAATCACTTACATAAATGTTTACATATATGCCTTTTTGCACTTTCTCCCTTAAATAGATGGATCAGAAATATTTAGAAAACAAAGAGAATCATTAATTGGAAAAAGGAAGATACAGATGTCTGCTTTTTAGATGATTTCTGACCTGATTTGTATTCCAAAAAAGTCGAGACCAAATCACACCAATTTAAGTCTTATTGGAACTGAGCGCTAAATTACTTGCTCATATACCTCTAGATGAGTTGACTTAGAATGCATACACTAGTACACAACTTTTTATTTTACCAACAAAAAAATTTAAACCCAAATCACTCAAATAAAATATCACATTATAAAATATATTCCCAATATGGCATATACTTGTAATCTCAACTAATCAGAAGATGGGGGCCAGAAAGTCAAAAGTTCAAGGTCAGTCTGTGAAACTCAGAAAGACCCTATCTCAAAATAAAGCATTTTTTAAAAGGTTGGGAACATAAGCTTAGTGGTAGAGCATTTACCTCGCACGTGTGGGCCCCTGGCTTCAATCCACGCCAAAATTGAAAATATATATAATTTCAACATATCCTCCCAAATCAAGACACAGTTTCAAAATAAAGGGAAGTCCTTTAAGTTAAAGTATCTTTCTAGAGAAAAATCTCTAAAATAATCCCCAATACAAAGTATACTGTCATTTCTCGTTGACCAGGAAAAACCTTCTCAACTATTTTCATAATGAATTTGGAATGAATGAGTATATGTGGATAAAATATGCAAGTTCTTACATACTAAATTAGAAATGTAAAAACAATAGTTCACTTGCAGTTTCAAAAAAATCTTATCATTTGGGTAGGACAATAAAAGAGGCAACAAAACCATATCTCAAAACTAGTTATTTTAAATATTACCCCAAATAACCTGATTTCAGTTTGTATTCACAAATTCAAAAGTCTTAAAATTCTATAGTAGCAGCCAGGTTTAGTAAC